CGACTCGTTCTCCTCTCGCCATCGCGCGATTGCAGCTTCAACGCAATCTCGCTCAAGTCGGGCTTGGATCTCCTTGCGTTCTCGGATCGGCAACGTAGAAATATCGCAGGATTGAGGGAGTTCGTCGAAGAGGCTCAGGGTTTGCTTCAGCGACTTCAACCCAAAGCCCTTTTGTGGCGTGGATAAGACCTCGGGCACCTGGTCAGAAACAGTGCTGAGATGCTCTTCCCGAGGAGCTGCGAGCTCATTGGGCTCTGGAATCGTGGTGTCGTCTGACGATAGATTGTATGTCGGGCAGATTGCAGTGATTGCGGCGAGGTCCTGATCGGTCAGGATTTCAGCCATTGACAAGACCTCGAGGCCTGCTTCGCCGGGGACCATTCCCATGTAACGATGAATGAGGCGGCTGAGCCTTTCGGGGTCGCGCTCGGAGAGCAAAGAGGACTTGAGCATGCACGCGATTGTCTCGGCGGTCTGCGGATAGCCTTTCTTTCTGATATACAACTCATACCACGTTTGGAGGGCCTCCGCCTGTGCGCGATCTGGGTGCAGGCGCAGTTGATCGAGAGATGCGCGAAGATAGCGGGTGTGCAGTACGGCGAGATCTTCTCTTGGAAAGTGGTCAAACGCAGGTAGGGTCAGCCGCTTGAGGATGGCGGCGGCACGATCAATCTTGCCTACACGAATGCAGGCGTCAAAGAGAGGAATCATTTCCTCTGCACTTCCAGGGATGCCGTATATATTCACACGCTGTCTCTCGGGGGTAGGGTCGTCCTCTGGCACAACGAGGGGCGAAGAGGGGTCGAAGGCCCTTAGCTCATAGTTTCTTGGGCGGTTGTTGGCATCTTGCAAGGATGGCAAGATGGAGTTTTGTAGACGGGAGTAGCCTGATGGCTCAATCGGCTGGTAGTCGTCGACTGCGGTGGCAAGATTCCTTCCTGGTTTGAATGTTGATGTAGCATCGAAGCTCTTTCTTCTCGTCACCGGGCGAGCATCATGCTGCGTGCTCAACAAACGTATGCTCGATTCGGTCGCGGGGATGCTCGTGAGGGGAGATCGCAAAGTCGGTCGGAGTGGTTTGAAGACGACTGCTTGATGGAGGGAAAGGGCCTTCCGGCCATGCCTCAGAAGCATCTTGGGCGTCAACCCCAGTCGATGGGATGAAAGGTGGCGGCGGCGGCAGCGGCGGTACAACAGCCCGGCGTGACTGCTGTGCGTTCAATGGAGACGCTGGTACATTAAATAGAGAATGCGAAAACCAAGACAGAGTATATTACAAGTACAGAGAAGGTGCACCTAATTGCATGGCGGTGCGAAAGCGCATGCAAAAAAAAGTTTTGGTGTAGGGAGAGTGGAGGTGAGGATGCATGCACTCGACTCGACGACGACCCTGGGTGGTGGTGCTGCTGCTGATAGGAGTCCTTTAGAGCTATCGGTATGAAAAAAAAAAATTGCCATCGTTTGGCCCGGGTGGCAGACCGGATCCACTTGGAGGAATGGGCCAACGGCGTTGCTGGGAATGTTCGATGAGCGGGTCTACTCCTAAAGCAGACTAGCGCCTCTCTGGTCATGATTCGTCACGTGGCATCGCGTTTCTGATTTGCTGCGCTGGGTGAGTTCCTTGGAGGCATGTACGCAGTTTTATCCTGCGTTGATTTTTGCTTGGGGTCACGATATGAGAAACTCACGCCGAATTGAATGGTTATTTTCCCTAGTCTGTGGACAAGATGTTGGATGGTATCCGTGAACACTTTGTAACTGACAAGCAAACTTGGGAACCCACGCATTGTACCATGTCATTGGCAGGCGCCATAGACGGACGTGCCCACGCGCTCTTCCCCGCTGAAAAAAGCTCTTGCCGTGGGGCGCGCCACCAAAAATCCGATCCATTGCTGCACCGGGTGTGATTACCTAAGAGGGGCAGAAAAGTCCCAAGCTCTAGTAGCTTGAAGCCGCCCGCCTTTCGGTACGCCAAAGCTGGACTTCATGCGAAAAGTCCTGCACTTGCCAACCACAACTACGACTGACAATCCTCGTCAAGCTCGGAACGAACATGGCTTCGCGACCAGCATTCGCAGCTCTTGGCTGCTTGCACTGTCGTGGCCGCGTTCTGAGGGCCATTACCGCAAACCCCAACCAGATTCTGCGAGCCCCAGCACTTACGACGGCTGTGCCCCTTCGACCTCACAATCTGCGCCGGGCTTTCTCGACGTTGCCGCCTGACGCACCCAAGGCCACCACCGAAACAGGCGCAGAAGAACCGGCTTCCACGACTCCCGAAGCCGCTCCTTCTACCCACGAAGGCATCGAAGAGAGCAAAGCCTCCGAAGATACGCCATGGTTCCTGCAAGTCGACCCTCCAACGCACGCCCCAACCCAGCATGTGTCGCCCCTTCCAGAACTACCTGAATCGCCCCCAGCCATTCTCGAGCCGCTTATGAAGTACGTGTACGAAGAGATGGGCCTTGACGAGTTGTCTCTACTGGACCTGCGCGCAATGGACCCCCCTCCCGCCCTCGGCCCGAACCTCTTGATGCTTTTGGCGACGGCTCGAAGCGAAAGACATCTTCACGTCTCGTCCTCCCGCTTGGTCAAATGGCTGCGACACACGCACCGTATAGAGTCAAACGCAGACGGCCTTATTGGGCCTGGCGAGCTCAAGACCAAGCTTCGCAGAATGAGAAGGAAAGCAAAGCTGTTGGGCTCTAGTGCCACGATCACCCCGGGCGGCGACGACGGTATCTCCACGGGATGGATCTGTGTCAATCTTGGAACACTTGGTGCAAAATACGGGGAGGGTGCGCATTTTGATGCGGAGGGCAACATGTCAGGTTTTGGCGCCCCTGTCAGTGGCACTACCATTGTTGTGCAAGTCATGACCGACGCACGGCGGAAGGAACTGGATCTGGAGCGCCTATGGAGCCAGCAGCTCATTCGCAGCGAGGTCCAGACTCAAGCGCTGGCCGAAGGTGCCAAGTTCCAGCATCGCTTTGGCCAGCTTCCGCCTACGACTGATCGCTCAGCCAAGGGCAGCTCTGCTATGCCCCAGCAAAAACGTCTGTTCTCTACATCCTTGAACCAGACGATGCCATATGCAGCGGAGCCGACCACGAGCCCACCTGCTCGTAGGTCCCGCGCTGCAAAGCCCACGGCTAAGGAACAGTCCACTCCTGCGACACTTACCGAGATTCGCCAGTACCTTGATTCGATTCGCTGGGAAGGCATTAGGGTCGATAGAGAAAAATGTCTGCACCTTCTGGAGCTCATCTTTCGAGCGCCCTCTACGGAGGATAACCACTCTCAGATCCAGGCTGATCTCGCCACAGAACTGATCACCACGATGAGCGAACGGGGCATCCCGATTATGGAGCCAGATGTCATCAGCGTCATTATCGAATCGATCGCAGTCTCTGGAGCGCGCGGAGAAAAGATCGAAGCCATCCAATCCAACTTGGAAATGGTCTTACTCCAAGCCACATCGTCCTGTCCAACCCCAGCGGACGCCATGCGACTTATGAGAGCCTACCTCATCCAAGGCAACTGGGATAAGCTCTGGGACATATGGTATACTCTGCCGAGATACGGCCAACGCCGTGGACCGGAGATGTATGAGTTCTTCTTTCAGCAGACGGCCGAGACGGGAGACAAGCTCAGGTGCATCGAAGTGCTTAGGAAATGCGCGGAGGAGATGTTGACGGAGGAGCCACCGGTCCTGCCAACAGACGCAGTATGGCAGGCTGTCAGAAAATGCATCAGAGTCGCCGATCCCGCGGCCGAAGCCGTTGCGAAGAATATTCAGACGATGGGTGCCACGAGTGCAAGCAAAGTCAACAGTTTGGAGTTTGTCAAAATCTGGCAGCAACTCGACAGCATTCGACAAAGTCTCTAATCGAGCCTGTCTGCTGCTGGGCGGATTGCGGCAGAATCCTCTTGGCATGATAACGATAGGATCCTCGTTCGTTACGACGGGAATCGGCGCCCACCGGTCACCGGCGGTCATCTCACGAGGGCACGATAAAGGAACGATGCCATCGTCCCTTTCTGCATGATGTCGATGCGACAGCAGTCAGATTTGTACAACACTGTCACAATACTGTACCATACACTCTGCATATGACCAAGATATGATGACGAAATACATATTTCTCGCCTCGCTATACCTTCGACCTTTGAGTAAATCGAGTGAAACAGTGCTCAGTGCGACGCAGAGGAGATGATTTTCCACATCTCACACCTTCCTAATCGGGCAGTCCTCCGTCTTATCTCTCTGAAGTTGGCGCCGCCACGGCAGAGCATGCGGGGGGATCATCGGAGCTGATTTTTTGACGCCAATTTTTTCACGCACTAATGCAGGTGTAATCCGACAACAGTGCATCCAAGATTTCCGCCTCATCTCTTGGAAAAGCGTCTGACTTGTTTGCCAAGACCAGTCGATCGCTTTCGGGAACTGGTCGTCTGATAGGTTTCCCAAAAGTTTGTCTGCGCTCTCAAAGAATTGCTTCTCGGCCGAAATCGCGCCCGTTCCTGGCTATCAAGAACCCCGGCCCCCGGACACCAGCATTGTTGTTTGATTCCTGTCCCCGGCCGAGTTCGTCCAATGACACTTCGACAAGCACCCCTCCGCACGCTTGATCGGCATTAGAATCAACCTTAGCCCCGTACTTATGTGAACCTCGCGATTCCTGAAGAAGCAGGAGCACAAAAAAACGTGGTCTGCATCGCCAACCTCCATGGTCGTCTCCTCCTCTCCGATATGCACTCACCCGGGCGACGCGGCATCTCCCTTACCGCCAGCATGGATTCACCCGACGTTACGTCGCTCGTCCACATCGCACGTGGGCCCTCGCCGACCAACAAGAGATGAACCGCATGTAGCACACTCCTCAGAATGTAACATATAAGCCTTTCCTCCCCGTCTTCCCAGGACCATGGTCTCACTCTCAACCACCCCCCTTCTCCTCCGCCAAGACCTCTCTTTCCCCCTCAACGTAACACCCGCAATGGCCCGTCTCCTCCCGCTCGCCGTCTTGGCGTCCCCCCTCCTCCCCGGTGCCATGGCCTGGGGCTCCATGGGCCACGCCGCGGTCGCCTACATCGCCACCAACTTCGTCGCCCCCGAGACCAAGTCCTACATGCAGCAGCTCCTCGGCGACACCTCCGACGACTACCTCGCCTCCGTCTCCAGCTGGGCCGACTCCTACCGCTACACCACCGAGGGCGCCTTCACCTCCACCTTCCACTACATCGACGCCCTCGACGACCCCCCGGCCTCCTGCGGCGTCGACTTCGACCGCGACTGCGGCCCCACCGGCTGCATCGTCTCCGCGCTCGCCAACTACACCACGCGCATGCTGACCCCCTCCCTCTCCCTGGAGCAGCGCCAGATCGCCGCCAAGATGGTCATCCACTTCACCGGCGACATCGGCCAGCCGCTGCACTGCGAGAACCTCGAGCTCGGCGGCAACGGCATCGCCGTCGAGTTCGCCGGCGCCAGCACGAACCTGCACGCCGCGTGGGACACCAACATCCCGCAGAGCATCTCCGGCGGCAGCGGGCTCGCCGTCGCCAAGACGTGGGCCGCGAACCTGAGCACCGAGATCAGCTCCGGCGACTTCAAGAGCGCGGCAAAGTGCTGGACGCAGGGGTTGAGCCTGGCGGACCCGCAGGACATGGCGCTGCAGTGGGCGACGGAGAGCAATGCGTTCGTGTGCACTGTGGTCCTGCCCGAGGGCCGCGCCGGGGTGGAGGGGCTGGATATTAGTGGTGCGTATACGACGAGCGCGCAGCCTACTGTGAGCATGCAGATTGCGAAGCAGGGGTATAGGTGAGTTTTGAGAGCCATATCTCTTGAGAGTGTAGGCAAGCTGACAAAGTTTCTAGATTGGCCAAGTGGTTGGATGCCATTGTCGCTGAGGTTGCCTAAGTCAAGGCCAGGAGTTTGTGAGAATGGTTGATGAGTGATGAGAAATGATGTTGAAAAGTATCGATGAAGGCACGCTTCATGGACGGTCATGGGCCGATGTGCTCGGGTGTAATGTGTAGTCGCCATAGATCTCGCTTTGCCGAGTTGGTGTAGTCCAATATCCATGAGTTTTTGAGAATCAAAACTGCGTTGTCTACCAATTGATGCTGAGAATGATATGCCATACATGAGGCCGCTTGAAGTTTCTATGTCTGGGCTCTGGGTATTAAGCTCAGACTTATACTTCGATTGAGAACAGTAGTACAGATGATGCTCGTGGAAATAATAATGACAACAGCCATAGAGGTGACAAAGAGGGCGATGATGAGAATAAGGAGGATAGCAAGGGTAACAACTACGACGACGAGGACGATGAGGGTTGAAGACGAGGGATGATGACACGACGAGGACAAAGACGAGGCATGACGGCAGTTTTAGAGACAATGATAGGAGGAACAACACCAACGGCATAAGCGAGGATGGCGACACCAACGACGATAGTGCAGATCATGCATCAGCCCCATAGGAAGCGTAGTCGCTCTGGCATTGGAAATTTAGCTGTACATATGCCTGCGGCGGTGTTGCATACGGCGTCCCAGTCCATGTCCGGGCTTTTGAGGGTGGCTTCTTTAGCAGGAAATCAGAAGGCAATTCTTTCGTTTATTCTTATGAACACCCAGCCTTTGCCTCAAAGTCTGGATTCGCCTTTAATAGCCTCTCTCAACATTGGCGCAACCTGTTTCCTGGAGTGCCTAATGTTCCCCTGACTCCACGCCATCCGCCACTCGTCCTCCCCAACCTGATCCAACCTCTCCTCACCCCAGCTCTCCAGGCCCAGGTCATCCTTCCACCCCTTTACGAAGTTCTTGCACACTTCCACAGCGTTCCTGTTGAACGCCCAAATGAACAGCTGCCGCTGGAACTTCCCATCGGGGTGCGCCGTCGTCATGATGACGCCGATATCCAACTCCCTCTCCGCAGCCCACTTCCTAAACTCCTCGAGCAGAACGCTGTGGTCCCCGTCGGCCTTGGAGAGCAGATACTCCAGGTTTTGCACCACGGCCGAGACGCCCATGACGGCGGGCTTCGGGCCAGAGCCCTGGTCGTCCCACTGCTTGTAGTCCTTGCGGAAAATGTCGCGGAAGCCGAGCGAGGAGATGTCCTCCTTCACATCGGAGATCTCGTTGAAGAAAGCGTCCCGATCAAACTTTGCGCCCGCAATCTTTTCCAGAAACTCCACGGCCGAGACGTCTTTGAGGGTCGTCTTGTCCTTGGACTGCAGGTTCGTCGTGTCGATCAAGATCGGCGCCAAAGCCAGCCTCGCCAGCCGCGCATCCTCTTCCTTCCCCTCCCCACCGTCGACGGCAGCAGCTTCCCACGCCTGACGGCAGTATTCCACCACCAGACTGGCGCAGCTGCCGCACTTCTCCACCACGCGCGGCTCCTCCCCGGTGTTCGTCGGGATCACGCCCTCGTCAGCGTGGTGGTCGACACAACCCACCACTCGGCTTGCGAACCGTTTCGAAAGGGCGCCCGTGAGCGAGTTGTGGTCAACGAGGACCCAACGGGTGCCATCTGCGGGAAGGGAGGCCGGGATGTCGTCGAGGGTAAGCAGGTCGGCGGGCTTGAGGTCGGCGTGGGCAAGAGCGGCGGTCATTTCAGGCCGCAGCTTGAGGTCGTCGCGGGGCAGGTTCGAGATTGGGATGTGCAGGTTGTGCGGGGGGTTCGTCGTGCGGAGGTAGGCGTAGATGACGGCTGAGCAGAGCGAGTCGAGGTCTGATTCGGTATCGTCAGCTTTGTCTTGTTCAAGAGAAAGGAAGGACTTGGGGAAGAAACGCACCTGCCGATTCGTTTCCAACGACCAACGTCAAAGGGCTCTTTCTCTGCGCAGCAGGCGCGACCAGCGCAGAGCGCGCGCTGGCGAGGAAGGCGCGCAGAGATGTCCTGGCAGACATTCCGAGTCTGTCACCCTTTAGGCGTGGTGTTTTGGAGGGACGAAGTTGGAGCCGGGATCACGATTGCTGACGAACTGCAGGGTAGAGTAAGACAGGGAATGACGTCGGCGTGTTTGAGGGGGGTCCGGTTTGTGGTGGTGACACAGCAGGAACTCCCCAAGCTTCCTACCTAGCTCCCCCGCCAGCCAACCGTAAGCGCGTTATCAGCGCAGCGCGGTCCGTTATCGCTTATCGCGCCTTCCTCCCCGCTATCGGCGCCACCTGGGCCCCTCATCGCGGGGCAATTTGTCACTGGACGCTTGAATCGTGGCTCGTCCGGGACCGCGGTGACAACGGCTCCTTTGTCCTCTAAAGGGCGCGAGGCTTCTCTTCTTGTTCCTTTCTATCGGCGCTTTGTTCCCCTTGTGCTGCTTGTCACTTTTCATCTCATAGATCTACATATCTTACATACGCGCTTCATCTCATATCGAGTTACTTCATTTCTTGCCCCTTTTTTGAATATACAGTACATATTTCCAGCGAAACGATCGACAAGATGGGTTCTCAAGCACCGCGCATTCGCCTCGCCATCATCGAGGCAGACACGCCGCAGCCGCAGACGAATGCGCAGTACGGCGGCTACGGCGGCGTCTTCACTTCACTTCTGCGCCTCGCCGCGCTCTCCTCTGAGCCGCCCGCGCCGCTGGACTCGATCCTCGATATCTCGGTGTACCACGCCGTCGGCGATGAGGCGGTCTACCCCGAGCTGGACTCCATCGACGCCATTCTCATCTCGGGCAGCAAGCACAACTCCTTCGACAACGACCCGTGGATCCTGAAGCTGGTCGATTTTACGAAGAAGTGCATCGAGAGCGACAGGGTGAGGGTCATCGGCGTCTGCTTCGGTCACCAGATCATCGGCCGCGCGCTCGGGGTGGAGGTCAAGAGGAGTGAGCTGGGCTGGGAGGTTGCTGTTGTCGATGTGAACCTTACGGAGAAGGGCAAGGAGCTGTTCAAGTTGGACAAGATGGTATGTTCCCTCCACATATGCTTGAGCTGAAGATGAGTACGGAAGGACTCACGAGGTACCAGCGCATCCATCAAATGCACCGAGACGTTGTCACCGCCAACCCTCCCGGCGCTGAGTCTCTTGCCTACACCGACCTCTGCCCCGTCCAGGGCTTCTACGCGCCAAAGAAGTACATCACCGTCCAGGGCCACCCCGAGTTCACCGGCCCTATCGTCAGTGAGGTTCTCAACGTCCGCCACAAAGCGGGCATTTTTAGCGACGAGATGTTTACCGATGCTATCAACCGCGCGAATATCGAGCATGACGGTGTTGCCATTGCGAGGGCCTTCCTGCGGTTCTTGAAGGAATGAAGTTGTAGATAATTTTGGCTTAGAGCAATAGACTAGCGATTGATTTCATTTTCATCCTGACCACTACTCACTATTGCCAATCTTACTTATCGCGCCCCTCCAAATGAATCACATTCATCGGCAATCGAATTCGTTCTTGCGGCAGGCGCCTCTTACTTCATTGCTCTTGCGCGGCATCCCTACAGTGGCCCTTTTCTCTGGCCTCCTTCCTTCCTGATCATCAAATCGGCTTCTTTCCAAATAACATCGCCATCTCGTTCCTGCCTTCCTAGAATATTCAGGGTTGGGGCCAGCTCTTGAATATTTAGATTCAACCTCTTCACCTTCACAACTCACCACCAACAAATCCTTTCCCTTTCACAAACAACTCAACTTCTCTTCCACAACCCACTACCACCCAATCTTCACGTCGCATGTCCCATTTCGCCATTCGTATCGAATCCTTCATCATACCTTCTCATTCCTACCTACCGGCGAAACTAAGACATAATCTCATTTGATTGTCTTCGTCGCTCCTGCTCAAAGTCATTTACTCGCTACCAAACAGTTTGTAGCTATCTCTCGGAAAATGCGCTCTTCTTCGCTTCGAGCGACTTGAATCTTTCCTCATTCACAATAACTCCACCAGCAAGAGTCGTCTTTCCTCCGCGGAAGCAAGTCTCCATCCTCACTTTCTCTCGACATCCTCTCATTCCGCCTCTCATATCATCTTTCGGCAAACTTTCTGTCCAAGCACCAAAGACCAGCAATGCTATACAGCCGACATCTCATTTAATTTGCATATTAGGTTGCCTCGCCGCTGCACTTTGATTCTTTACGTTCATTCCGCCACAGAACTTCAATACCTTCTAACATACTGGGAAGCCATCATGGCATCTCCTGCCAGAGCAGATGAGTCTGAGATGGTCAGCAGGCCAAACAAGAGAAAATTCCAATTCGCTTGCAATGACGACTCTGATGACGAGCAGATGCAAGATCCTCCATGCCTACAGAGAGCCGCTAGCGAGGACGACCATGGCCTTGACATCATCGACCGCTTCCTTCGCGAGACTGCCATGGAGAATCAGACCGATCAAACCATCGCAGACGACAATGCAAGAACCCATACAACTCATCAGCATGACGAGGCTAGCGAGCTCTTTGTCCCGCAAGGTGGAGAGCAACACGTCAGCCCGTCACCTGCACCCGAGAATGCGAAAGTCAAGCCCGAGCCCGACCTTGATGATGGCTTCATGATTATTGAGCCGACAGAAGCATCCACTGATGCTCGAGAGAAATGGGCAGAGAGACGGCAGCCATGGACAATTGATCTTACGGATGACAATCCCGTCCAAGTCAAAGAAGAGTCAGGGTTGGAACATGTCAAGGTCAAGGCTGAGGATCCATCTGGAAATCATATGCCGGCTACAAGCGACTCCAATGCGTCTTCTGCCGATATTGCTGAGCTTATCAGCAAGCGCGACGAGCTGAAAGCCAAAGTTTTGACCGGAGACCACGGTCCAGGTGACTTGGACGAGTTGCTCAAGTTCAGCGCTGAGATTGCTTTACAGGAAAGGAAGCAGGAAACAGACAAGACAAAAGAAGATGACGTTCAAAGTCAGAAG